AAGGAGAAAGAGAAGGAAGGAAGCTTTAGTTTGCAGTGCAGCTCTAAGAGAGTGTCTACAGGCTGACAGGGAGTCCTTGAGCTAAAGTCACCCATCAGGGGAAATCGTTTCTCACAGATTTGCGATTGCTTTCATATCCCTGCTGGGAGCCTGTGGGAAGGGTGGTCACGTGCATTGATGGTGAGGGTGAATGGAGACGGTGAATTCAGAGTGCACTAGCCCAGGCCTTCTGTCAATTAAGTCCCCACCACAAGAGACCTGAGAGGGACAGAATCATGAGTAGACTGAGGAAGGAGGCCCTGAGAGGAAAGGCAGTATCCACCATGATATAAATGAACATTGAAGAGCCCCAAAGAATTATCAGCTGGCAGTGTCCTTCCTCACTCAAGGAGCAAAGATCCTATGCTTAGGAATAGCAGTTCCAGTGTCTGATATTTATATAGGTCAAGTGGCCAGTGCAATCTCACAGAGCACAAACCCTCAGCCTCCAACCACAGTAAGTAAAGCCACTCACCTCTGAGAGCTGGTGTGTTCCACCACGTGCCCTGCCCTAGCAGGGAATCCTGGATTCCCAAACCACTCCCTACCTTCTGAACGTTTAGAGGGGATCTCCACTTCCCAACATTAAGTTGGCATAGGTCCTCACACCCTTCCTAGCCACAACAGATTCCCTGAGATATAGCCCCAGGAGAGATGGTCACTCTGCTTAAGCCACATAGGTCTGAGGAAGATGGACCTGTTTCCAGGAGCCACTTCCTCATCCTCCTGCTTCCCCCTCCTGCCCATTTATAGATGTGGGCATTCTCTTTTGGTGAGACTTTCCCTGTCTTGTGGTGCTCTGGGAGCTGTGGGCTCAATGCCCTGCCTTGCCACTGAAGCCTGTTGCTGAGAAACACATCAGGGAAAAAAATCAAGGTCTTATGACCTGAAAAAAATCTTCAGAACTGGATGGAGGCATCCTCTGGCTCTACTCTTGCCGCTCCTCTGGTACTAATGCCCTGGGTCTGGACCACAAACTCTGAGGGAAGCCAATTCCTTAAGTGATCATGGGCCACCTCCCCACTCCACCTTCCCACCACCTGCCATCTCCTTCAGGGAGAAATCACATCTTAGGAACACCATTGTTCTAAGAACATAAGTCAGCTTTGTATTTCCATGAGTTGGTAACTCTTCTTTTGCTTCCCTGGGTCAGGGCCACTCTGACAACCCCCTTATCAAGGTAAGCACACCCAGTTTCACTGTTTCACTTTCTCATGGAAATACCTCTGTTTAGAATGGGTTATACTTGAAGACACCAATGTGAGACCAGGTTTGGGTCAAAGTTCCTCGATGTAGCAGCAAACAAAGAAGGGTTGGTAACAACTCCCATGAGTCTACCTCATTGCGAGCACAGCTCTTTGGAATTACCACCATCCTGTGTTTGAATCCTTGCTGAGACTGTTAGTAGCTCTGTGATCTTGGACAAGTAGCTTAACGTTTCAGATCCTCATTTTGTCATCTAACAAATGGGCATGCTGCCTACTTCGAAGAGAAGCTGAAGGAATTCAACGAGATACAAATGTACAGCACCCAGCACGGTGCCCAACACAAGGAAGGCCTCAGTCATTCTCCCTCCTCTACCTTCAGGCTGACTCTGCTCTTACTCTCAAAGGATAATTTCCATTCCAGTGGGTCTGTGGCCTTCGTTTCTTTAATTTATAATAATTTTACCAAATTTTTCCCATCTTATCAAATTTCAAAGTGGTGATAGCACGTGGTACTGAATCACACTAGACCAGGTGAGGGCCTGACCTATGACACTGATTTAACTGACTGCTGCTCATGCCTTTCAGATCAATGAAGTGGCATTTTCTTCCCTGAACTTCAATGCCCAGGAATCAAAGAAACCAACTTTAGCCTCCCCACCCTCATCAGCTACAGAAACAGTTTATTCAGAAGTAAAAAAGAAGTACTGCAACCATACATATATACCCTGAGATTATGGTATTTATACAATGGAATATGATGATACAGCAATGAGAATGAACATACTACCAATGCATACAACAATATGACTGAATCTCACAAAACAAGTCTGAATGAAAGGAGCCAGACACATATAAGGATATACTGTGTCTTTCATTTATGTAAGAACATAAACAGGCAAAACTAATCTAGTGCATTAGAAGTCAAGATAGTGGTTACTCTTTGGAAGGAAGGAAGTGGAGGGTTTTTGGGGGACAGGATTTTGTTTCTTGATTTTGGTGCTGCTTACATGGGTATGTTTAACTTGGGGAAATTCATACAGTGTTAAACTATATTTATGATTCAAGCACATTTCAGGGTATATATGTATGGTTGCAGTACTTCTTTTTTACTTCTGAATAAACTGTTTCTGTAGCTGATGAGGGTGGGGAGGCTAAAGTTGGTTTCTTTGATTCCTGGGCATTGAAGTTCAGGGAAGAAAATGCCACTTCATTGATCTGAAAGGCATGAGCAGCAGTCAGTTAAATCAGTGTCATAGGTCAGGCCCTCACCTGGTCTAGTGTGATTCAGTACCACGTGCTATCACCACTTTGAAATTTGATAAGATGGGAAAAATTTGGTAAAATTATTATAAATTAAAGAAACGAAGGCCACAGACCCACTGGAATGGAAATTATCCTTTGAGAGTAAGAGCAGAGTCAGCCTGAAGGTAGAGGAGGGAGAATGACTGAGGCCTTCCTTGTGTTGGGCACCGTGCTGGGTGCTGTACATTTGTATCTCGTTGAATTCCTTCAGCTTCTCTTCGAAGTAGGCAGCATGCCCATTTGTTAGATGACAAAATGAGGATCTGAAACGTTAAGCTACTTGTCCAAGATCACAGAGCTACTAACAGTCTCAGCAAGGATTCAAACACAGGATGGTGGTAATTCCAAAGAGCTGTGCTTGCAATGAGGTAGACTCATGGGAGTTGTTACCAACCCTTCTTTGTTTGCTGCTACATCGAGGAACTTTGACCCAAACCTGGTCTCACATTGTGTCTTCAAGTATAACCCATTCTAAACAGAGTATTCCATGAGAAAGTGAAACAGTGAAACTGG